CACGATTCAAAAGCATCAATTCTTCGGTTAGCCTTCTTTATGGTCCAGCTCTCACTTCCATACATCGGTGATGGAAAAACCGTTTGTATCCAAAAATACCCAGTGTGGTGGAGTAGGTACAGTGGTGGACTAAGACTCAGGAGGCCTGGGTTCCAGTCCTCACTCAGCCACGAAACTGGTGGAACTGGTAAAACCTCTACTTAAATATCTTACTTAGCTTGAAATCCCTAGTGTGTGTTGTGCCATCCAATAGGAATTCACTTATTATGACCCTAATAGGGCTTTCAAGATTAGATCTTTAAGGAGTTGTTTTACTAGTTCCACTCTCCTAGTCAGTTTCCATAGATGAGCAGGGATTTGAACCCTGTTTTCCAGAGTCCTAGTCTATCACCCTATCCACTACACTAGTGGTCCCCAACCTTTTTGACACCGCAGACTGGTTGGGGGAGGATGGGGTCTCTATGTGGGGAAGGCGGGGCACCCAATTGTGCATGCGCAAACAGGCGAGGGTGCACTTGCGCACATTGGGGAGGATGGGGTCCGTGTGCGGGGAAGGCGGGGCACCCAAATGCATGCACAAACAGGCGAGGGTGCACTTGTGTGCATGCATGAAGGAATGTGTGTGTGCATTCGCATGCATTTGCAGAGGGGCAGGGGCACTCACACAGGCTCATGCGCAAAGGGGCAGGGGCACTCACAGGGCACATGCATGTGCAAATGGGCTGTGTGGGGAAGTGCATGTGGGCCGCAAAGGGGCAGGGGCACTCACAGGGCACGTGCATGTGCGAATGGGCAGTGTGGGGGAGTGCATGTCGGGTGGGTGGGAGATCTGTCTCCGCGGCCCAGTCCAGCCCAGGTCACGGACCAGCACCAGGTCCGTGGTGCTGGTCCGTGCACTACATCAGTATGGTCCACGGACCAGGGGCTGGGAACCCCTGCACTACACCATACTGAGAATTCTAAAAGCCCTATTAGGGTCATTATAAGTTCTGACTTGAGGGCACATAATAACAATAAAGGTATAATACCTTATTTACCAGAAAGCATTGTGTTGCTTAATCTTTTCCATATTATTAACACTTGAAATATAAACATCATAAGAGATAAATGTTTACTTCGTTGTGTGCATATTTACTTTACGTATATACGACACACACAAAATAATTTAAAATTATCACTACATTTTCAGTTATTACATTTATTTGGTCAACAAATGTAATGTTATGTCCAAATCTTTGAATTCTCTATTCACTGGCTTCTGGCCTATTTCTGGGTCCAATTCAAAGTTCTAGTTATGACTTATAAAGCCACATATAGATTGGCTCCATTTGAAGCTATTTGAAGCACTGTAAACTTCCCGTATAATCCTGCCCTTCTTGCCCTCCTCCCCTCCCACCAGTCTTTGAGCTCTTCTCTTGGTCCTGCTTCCATACCAGGAAGGTTTGGTGAAAAATACAAGATAGGGCATTTTCTGCCAGTCTTTGGAATTTGCTACCTCACAAGGTAGGTTGGCCTCTTCCACTGACAGGTGAAAACTGTCCATTTAAAGTTGGCTTTTGACCCCTAAATGTCCTTGCAGCATTGCATTTTTGTAGAGGGATGCAGCATTTTTTAATAACGCATTTTATGTGAAGTTGCAAGTATGTTTTAACTTGTTTTAACTACTGATGTTTTAACCACCATTTTGGCTTAATCATAATTGAGTGTTAATGTTTTAATTTGCAGTGATTTGAATACATATATTAGCTGTTATATACTGTCTTATGTCCTTTTATTGGGAGAGATGGGATATAAATTAAATAAGTAAGAAAATAAACACTTTTACAAATTCTGTTTTAGATTATTAGAAAAATAAAGGCATTCCTATGTGTGGCAATACTGGGGCAGATGGTAGAGACCCTTTTCTGCTTTTTCCCCTACCTTCTATGTTTTAGTATAAATGGAATCAGTAACGGTTGGTTATAATATTGCTTTAACTTAAATCTTTTTTTTCCCTATCTGTAGGCTGGTTTTCAGCTGGTGTGATTTAAAAGATCACTCTAACTTCGACTGATTTGACAATCATGAATGTCAATGATTTTGTGATACTTCCTGGTTCAAAAACTGGCTTATCTGTAAAACTGAAGGCAAAGTAAGTTCATTTCCTTCTAAGTGTTTTTGAAGTGCTTTGTTAATTCATGGGTTTTTATATGTGCTGTAAAGTGCAAGCTATTTATTGCCACTAAGACTGTAATACCAAAACCACTTCCTTGAAATCATTTCTATTGAAACAATTGAGACTTGCCTCTAAGTAAATGTGTTCAGAATTTGGATGCCAGTAACATTTGCATTAATGTTTTCTGATGTTTTATTTTAACTTTCTTCTCTTGGTGGCCTGATTCTTTTAAAAATTGCCTTAGCTGCAATGGTGGAAATAGATTTTTTCCCCTTTAAGTTTACAGTATAGTCTCAAAACATCAAAATATAAGTTCAACTATCCCTGCAGCCTATTAAATGTATATTGCAACTACCTTAAATGGAGGAGAAAAGGTATAATTTGAAACAAAATTTAGTATTTGGACATCTCTTTAGAAGCATACGAGAATTGCAGCTGGAGAAGACTCATCTGGAACTTGAAAATAAGGAGATGGAGAAAAAACTGCAGCAACTTCAAGAAAACATGAGCAGAGAAAAACAGGAAAGAGAGTAGGTAAAATTTTATGAACTGAAAGGTTTTTTTTAAATCAAGTTATTTGTTGGTAAATAGAATTACGTATTTTGTATTTCACCTTCCTCAAATGAGACTGAGAAAGACGGAATAAGAAATTATATATTAAAGCAGTTACATTAAAAAAACAGCTTAGAACAATTCAAAATTACAATTTGAAGTTAATGAATAAGGAAAGATAAGTCCTTTTTTCAGCACTGTTCAATGCCAAGAATTTCCATAAGCCATTATGCGTCTCCAGAGGGCTTCCCCCCCATTTATTGCATTTCGCCTATTGCAGCACTTGATACCTAAAGTTTCTAACAATGAAGTGTGATAATGTACATAGAAAAAACAATCTCATTATACTGAAATGTGTAACAGTAAATTATCTGAGCTGGTAAAAACAATCTTATGGGGAAAAATATCAGTGAAAATCCTTTCAAACAGTAAAAGGTACAGAAAAAAATCAGCTTATAATGCCAAACAGCTGTGTAAAATGTTGTTGATCTGCTACTGAATGGTCATCAAAGAAAGTTTTAGAAAGGGCTTTTTCATGACACTCAGTTGTCTGTAGCAGCTCTGTGAAGGCATCCGATTTGTGCCTCTTGGGAGAAGAACCAGCCTGTAAAACCTTAGACAAAGCTGTACAGTCCTAGAGTGTCCTCAGAAGACGGTACTGCTTTATCTTCTCACTGTTACTTATTTTAAGCCTGCTTTCATTCTATTCCTTTTTTGAAATGTTTTACATATTACTGTTATGCATATAGTATTTAAGCAAAGTAAAACCAACATAAACATTACTTGCCTTTTTGTCTTCAGGGCCCAACTGGTTCATAAGCATATTTACGTTGTCTGTGTTCCAGTCCCAAGAATTACTAGTGAAGTACTCTAATAGCATCATAACCTTGTGAAGACGTGTTATTGTTTTCATCATCCTATAGTCCAGGGAAATATGTTATTCAAGGAGATGACATGCAGAAGCTACACATAAGTAAACTGCCCACACAGAGTACAGTATTTAAATGCAGGACTATGCAATGTGCTTATAATTCAAATGCATTCAAATAGATTCAGTATAACTAGAATATTTCTGCATAACAGTTTCAACATTTTGAATCCAATGGGTCTTGAGGGGTTTGCTTGCTTTTTAATTCCCCCCCATTTCCGATGGGTCTTGCAGTGTTTGCTTGCTTTTTGCTTTGCTTTTTTTGCATTTCCAATGGGTCTTGCATGCTTCACTTGCTTTCTGCTTTGCTTTCTTTGCATGCTTTGCTTGCCTTTCTTTACCCCCTTTCGGCCGAAACAGCTTAATAGCATTTCCGATCGGTCTTGCAGTGATTGTGTGTGTGTGTGTGATTTTTTTCTTCATCCAGAATGGATTAATTACATTTCAATGTATTTCAGTGGGAAATGGTGCTTCGACTTACAACCATTTCGAGTTATGACCAGAGTTCCAGAACCAATTAAGTTTGTAAGTCAAGGCGCCACTGTATTTACTACAGTGGTCCCTCGCATTAAGGCGTTAATTCGTTCCAGCGAAATCGCTGTAGAAAGAAAATGTCGTAATGCGAAAAGAAAAAAACCCATTGAAACACATTAAAACCCATTTAATGTGTTCCAAAGGGCTGTAAACTCACCGTCCAGCTAAGATCCTCCATAGGGCGGCCATTTTCGCTGCCTGTGCAGCGAGGAATTTGTCCCAGAAAACAGCAGGGGGGGCATTTTGTTTACCCGGCGGCCTTTTTGAAACCGCCAATCAGCTTTAGGAAAATCGTTGTTTTGCGAAGCATCGGTTCCCACAGCAGGGAACCGATCATCGCAAAGCGAAATTCCCCCATAGGAAACATCGTTTTGCGATCGCAAAAGCGATTGCAAAAAGTTCATTGTAATGCGGTTTCGTTGTTAAACGGGGCAATCGTAAAGCAAGGCACCACCATACTTAGAAAATGCTGGAAAGGTGGAAAGAATCATGAGTCTGGACAAATAAAATAAAGAGAAGAAAAACAATAGAGAGACATATAAAATTATGCAGGGGATGGATAAACTGGATAGAAGGAAGCTCTTTTCCCTCTCGGGCAATACCAGAACCAGGGAACATCCACTCAAATGGAGTGTTAGAGTGAGAACAGACAAAAGAAAATATTGATTTACCCAACGTGTGGTTAGTCTATTGAACCCCTTGCCACAGGATGTGGTGATGGCATCTGGCCTAGATGCCTTTAAAAGGGAATAGGACAGATTTCTGGTGGAAAAGTCCATCACAGGTTGCAAGCCATAATGGGGATGAAAGGCTTGAAAGGAAGATACTGTATTTCAGAATGCCAGATGCAGGGGAGTGGTATCAGGAGATATGTATCTAGTCGTCTCACGTGCTCCAAGAGGCAGCTGGTGGGGCCACTGTGAGATACAGGAAGCTGTACTATATGGCCCCTTGGCCTGATCCAGCAGAGCTGTTGTTATGTAGGTTTAAAAAAAGGATTCTTTCAAAATATGGTGCTGGATAAGAGCTTTGCAGATACCCTGGACTGCCAGAAAAACGAACAAGTACTGTAGGTCCTGGAGCAAATCAAGCCTGAATTAACTCTGGAGGCATAAATGCTGAAACTGAGGTTGGCTTACTTTTGGGCACATCATGAGAAAGCGAGACTGTCTGGAAAAGGCCATAATGCCGGGCAGCGTTCCCTCTATTTTTGTGGGGTGGGGCCCCTGCCCCATGTGTGCAGGTTTTCGGTCGGGAGTGGAAGCAAATGGGTGGTAACACTTGCTCAGCTGTGTGGCACTGATGCAATGTTGCAAGGTCACATCGCTTTGGGAACATTGATGCTAGGAAATATTGAAGGCAGCAGGAAAAGAGGAAGACCAAATATGAGATGGATTGACTTCTTAAAGGAAGCTATTGTTTTGAGTTTACAGAAGCTGAGCAGAGCTGCTGAAGATAGGACATTTTGGAGGTCACTCATTCATACGTTTGCCATAAGCTGGAGGTAACCTGATAGTATGTAAGAACACCTCCTCATTAAAAAGAAGAGCCAAGAATGATGCTGCATTGTAGGAAAATGATTACAGCATTTCTTATTGGACACTTCACATGGTTTCTTTATATTTCGCAAAGCTATATAAATGAGGCCATGATTGTTCGATACTGCCTGGAAACTTGCACATTAGCTTCATGGTTCACTCCATAAAATATATTTTCCAAGTGTTTTTCATTTTCCTTTTTCTTATGCTTTCTCCTTCCTCAGTAGTGTTACTACTCCTTCTTTTCTCCGACAGCAGGAGTCCTACCAGTACTTACGGGTATTCCCTGCGATGCTTCATATTCAGGTGAAAGAATCATTGCCACTTAGGTAGCTGACACAAATAAAGCTGATCTTAGAAAACTGGTTTGCTTGTTTCTGTGTTCAAGCAGCTGCAGCAGAAGCTTCAAGATATACATATAGTTTGCCGTTTGGCAGAGTCTTGTTCTGTAGAACTACAACCTTTATCTTTTTCCACAGTTAGACTTTTGATATCAGAATTCAATTTCAAGTACTCTCTCATCCGCTGAACAGTCACTTTGCATTCCCCCAGAGTGCTTCACTGTTGGTGCTAGATTGTTATCTTTTAATAGAATCTCAATCCTAAGCAAGTGTTAAGTGCATATGCATGCATTTACGAAAACATAAGAAAGTTGTAATTGTTCTGTACTGATAGAATCCATTTACGATGTCAGAATATTTTGCAGACAAAGCACAACCTTGAATATCTGTAACTTTTCTTTTCTGTTCTGAGTACCACTTTGTTAACCTCTCTGTATCTGTTTCCTTTTCTCAGTAATGTGAATTACATTCATGCCTCCACAGAGCATTATAAGGGCACAGTTATTATTGTTCTGCCGCACTTAGCAGGATACATAATTCTGTTTAAGTGTTAAGTGTTGCTAATTGCCTTCAATCATCATCATTAATTTCTGAACTCTTTTAGAGCATTTAGTGTTGGATTCTAGTACTGGGAGGTGATTATGTCTCTCTCTAACCCCAAACCTTTTTTTAAAAAGTGCTGGGTCTTCAGTTTCTAGTTTGTAACCATTTGCTTTGCTGTTTGCTTTCAAAGAAGTGAAATGGTCATGGAGTTGGAAGCAATTATGATTTCCTAGAATAGGACATTTCTGAACATGTTGATCATGCTTTAACACTAGACCCTGGTTTAATGGACTTGATAACATGATGCTGACCTGCTTGTTTAGCAAACTGCAAGTCCCATTAAGAAGTTAAGGAGGCTATAATTGCTGTATTCCAGACAGGGAATGTGAAATAAGCCCTCTTCGTTAATTGCATGTACACTGGATCCTACGACATTGGATAATGGTAGGCTTACAGTATTTGTATGGAAAGGCAATTTTGCATTGTATATGCATGTTTGCAATCATGTGCATGGTGGCAGAATCTCACTTGACTGGAGATTTGTTTTTCTTTATTAGCTCTGCTATGTGTTTTGTATTAAACCTGGTCACATTATTTGAGTGTTCCTCCATATACTTCTCCTGTCAAAGCTCACAGAAGATTAAATGTTAGATGATGAGAGTTCTAGTCTAGCCCCTTGTCATCTTTCTGCCTAGACAGGTAATTTTCACAGTAGCAGGTCACACACTCCTGTGGTAGTTGCAAACACCTCTTTGGCACCTTCACCACAAACCTAGTCACCAATCCTGAGTGGTACTAGGACAAATGTTAGCCTAAAAAGTTCAACCACACCCCAAAATCTATATCAAATATTTGACATTGCCTCTTTTACTATTTCTGAACCAGATCCTCCTTGGCCCAAGTAGATAGTGAGTAAAAAGATTTTTGTCTTTTTTAATCTCTTCTGTTCCCTCTGGTAATACATAGCATTATGCTATATGGGTGTAATGCTTTCTTATCATTGACTGCTTAATATCTTCTTCAGTTACTCATAATATCAAACAATTAGAGTTTGGTTCTGAATAAATAAAAGGGTGTTACTCAGGTAACATAGGTACCGTATTTTTTGCGCCAAAAGACGCACCTGACGATAAGACACACATAATTTTTGGAAGAGGAAAACAGGAAAAATGGAGCTGCTGAAGATAGGTGGGCAATTAAATAAATAAACAGTGCAAGTCCCACGCTGGGACTGCAAAAAAATAAAAAAAATAAAATAAAAAATAAACCTCACCAAAAAACAAAGCAACATAAAAACATACCCCTCCAACCCAAGCCTACCCTCTAAAAATCACCCAGAACATTTTTTAAAAAGTAAAAAGCAGCACCTTACCGGTCCGAAGCCTCCTGCCGCCATTGCTGTACTCCCAAGCCTCCAGAGGCCTCAGAAGGCACCGCCGGGGTCCCCCTGCCACCATAATCTTAATTGCTGCTGCTGAGGTCTTCTGGCCTCGGAGCCATGGAGTGTAAAAAGGGAAACTGGCAGCCCTTTGCAAAGATGGCGATTGCAGCTTCACTTAGGATAGGGAAACTGCAGCTGCCATCTTTGTGAAGGGCAGCCTGGATTCCCTTAAGGCAGGCTAAGGGAATCCAGTCTGCCCTTCGCCAAGATGGCAGCTGCCGCTTCCCAACCCCAAATGAAGCCACAGTCATCATCTTTGCAAAGAGCAGGCAGTCTCCATTTCTACATGTGTGGCTCCAAGGCCAAAAGACCTCAGTAGTGATGATTAAGGTAGGAGGGTGTCGGTGAGGGTGGGGACAAAGGTGTGGGTTTACTCATAAGTAAGGACTGCTGAAGGTGTGGGTTTACTTAAGAGTAAGGACTGCTGAAGGCATGGGTTTACTCATGAGTATTCTTTTAAATTCAAAATCCCAAGTAACTACTTCTGCAGACTTTCACAATCTAAATAAATTTCTTTTCAAATCTTTTATAGGACAAACTTTCTCATTAATTCTCGTATCAGATTTTTCAACAGACCCTTATGAGCTGACTCTCAAAACCAGACATCTCCAACACACTACCTAAAACAGAGCAACCTTCTCTCAGCTCCCACCTCTGCACACATCCCAATCATGCAAACCCATCACCATTCAGCCCTGCACTCAATATTCAGCCCTCCATCTGCCAGTCATAGTAGCCCTCTCTCATCCGTATACCATTCAGGCATTTACTGATGTTCATTATTCAAATCTCTCATCAGTTCTAATTACAAAAATACATGCATGGCAGAATTACCATGCCCTCTTATTCTCATGGTACTTTTTTTTCTCCATGGGGAATTTTCTATCATGTGAGCCTACTCGTGCATCCACAATCTTCCAAGTATGTTATTTATATGTAGTTTTTATAATTCTATGAGGTAAATCCAAATTGTAAATGGGAAGATGATTGAGGCTGAAAGAGAAAGTGAGGCCCTTGCAGATATGAGGACTAATGAGAGAACCTCAAGGTTCACTATTCCAGTCTTTTAGCCATTGCTACATTATCTCGCTAGCGTGATACATCAGTGATAGAATAATGCAATCGTATTTATTGGTCTGGTAGTCCTTATACAGTGGTGCCCCGCAAGACGATGTTAATCTGTTCCATTGAAATCGCTGTCTTGTGAAAACATCGTCTTGCGAAAAGCATTTCCCCATTGGAATGCATTGAAATCCGGTTAATGTGTTCCAATGGGGAAAATAGTTGTCGTTTTGCGAAGATCGCCCATAGGGAAGCCATTTCCCAGAACAGTTGAAAAATAAATAAACACAGACCTCATGCCTTCATTCCAGTAATGAGACATGATTGACAGATCCTCTGCTCTGCTTGTACTCAGCCATGGGCAAGGTGGTTTAGATATCTCACTACGGAGCCAAAGGTAGGGAGTTCGCTTCCCACTGTGCCTACTTGACAGGGGCTAGACTTGATGATCCATAGAATCCGTTCCAGCTCTGTAGTTCTAAGATGATTATTATTTTAGAAAGTTCCTCTTTCAAACTGCAGTTTCCAGAACACCAAGTACAAGCATTTTCCAGGACTTGAAGTCTGAAAAAAGCAATTCACATTTATTTTCTCAAGTTTGTTTTGTATCCATCTAAAAGTTCTGCTTGTCTCTTCCTGCTTGATTTCCCCCTGTTCTAATAGGGAGTGGTAAAATGTATATTCCTCATATAAAGGATGTAAAAATATTTTTTGGAATTTCTTACAGGCAAGCAAATGGATATCACTGGAAGTCAGGTCAGGCTGGCCTAGGTTTACAGCCCCAGCTGTTGTCCCAAAATAAAGAAAATATTGGAAAGGTAATGTTGTCCTTAGAATTTCACTAAGCTAGGCTTATAGTAACAGTTGCAACTCCAAAAAAAGGAGAGATTAATTGTAATATTTCACCATCTGTTTTGTTAGAATAAATCGAGCTGAGTTTTTTTAAAAAAAAATATCTAAGGAAAAGTTTCATGTGAATCAGTATTGCAGAAACAACCAAATTGAGACCCAAATGTAGAGAAGCATATTACTTTATTGACAGTACATTTTTATATGTGTCTTCTCTTTTAAATAAGACCCTTTGAATTCAGTGGGGCTTATTCTCAAGTAAATATGAAGAGGATCACTGCCTGAATACCAGGATCCCAACAAATTCTAACAGTAGCTAAATAATTCACTTGTAAGACCTAACTAGAACAGTCCTATTTAATCAATGCAACTTATATCAGGGATAATTTCAAAAGTGTCATTCATTCAGTAAGTGTGATCTGGCTAGAAAGAACAATTAAATTTATCCCATTTTCTGTCCTGAGGATAGTTTTCAGTAACAAAAGTCTTATCCAAAGTATGCTATTTTATTGATTATTGTTGCGTGTATTATTCTTACTCTTAGTCCTACTATTAGTACTTCTTGCCATTCTTCCAGTATTTCATAATATTATGAAAAAGTTTGTTCTGAGAGTTGCACAGTTACCCCAAGGAGTTGTAATTAACTTGTTAAGGATTATTTGTTGAAATGGATGTGTACCTTCTGTAGTTGGGTTTAAAGATGAATATATCATTATTTACAATATATTTTTTTATTTTTATTTACAATATTTTTAGCTGCACCATTACCAGTGGCTTCTGGGTGGTGTACAAGTGGATCTCTATAAGGAGGGCATTCCAAAGTTGGGGGGGCAACAGCTGAGAAGGCCCTATTTCAACATGCCATCCCCCTCACCTCTTTCAGGGATGGCACCTTCAGAAGGGCCTCCTGGCCTGATCTTAGAGGATGGGCAGGCTCGTATGGAAGAAGTTGGTCCGTTTATGGCTTTATATGTCAGAGTAAACACTTTGAATTGGGCCCGAGTAGCAACTGGCAGCCAGTGTAAATTTTTCAGAACCGGCATGATATGAGTCTGTGCGACGGCACCACTTGCCAGCCGCACAGCCTGGTTCTGTGCCAGCTGCAGTCGTCGAACTGTCTTCAAAGGCTGCCCAACGTATAGTGCATTGTAGTAGTCCAGTCTGGTTGTTACCAGTGCATGAGTGACTGTTGCCAAGCTCCGCTCATCCAGGTAAGAGTGAAGTTGATATATTCTCCGCAGCTGTAAGAAGGCACCCCTGGACACCGAGTCCACCTGGGCTTCCAAGGTCAGACCGGGGTCAAGGAGCACCCCCAAGCTGTGGACCCTGTCCTTTAGGGGGAGTGTAATCCCGTCTAAGGCAGGGAAATAGCCCTTTAACCTATCTGGCGGGGCACTTACCAGCAACACTTCTGACTTGTCTGGATTGAGCCTCAGTTTATTGACCCTCATCCAGACCATTATGGAGGCCAGGCATGAGTTCAGAATGGTGACTGCCACACCTGGATTGGTAGAGAATGAGAAGTAGAGCTTGGTGTCGTCAGCATATTGCTGGCTCCTCAGCCCAAACCTCCTAATGACCTCCCCCAGCGGTTTTATGTAGCTATTGAACAGCATGGGGGACAGTTCCTGAGGAACCCCATGACACAACCGCCTTGGATCAGAGCTCCTGTCCCCCAGCACCACCTTCTGGACTCGATCAGCCAGGTAGGAGCGGAACCACTGTAAAACAGTGCCTCCCAGCCAATCTGTCCAGAAGGACACCATGGTCGATGGTGTTGAAAGCCGCTGAGAGGTTCAGGAGAATCAACAGGGATGCATTCCCCTATTATATGAATAGTGTTGCATGTTTTATGTTTAGTTTAGTATACCTGCTTGAACCACATACACACTTGTGCAGTTACTTCACCACATACACATTTAACGTGGGGTGAAAAGAAAGTTCAGAAATGGTCATAAGAATTATTCAGTTTAACTTAAGTCGTCTTTTTTACAAAATAAACAGGTTTCTTCAGGCAAAGTCAGACTGAGGGTTCTCAAAGAACAAGATCAAGGTAATGGCAAGTGTTGGATTTGTGATGTAATAAAAGTTGGAACTGATGGCTCAGGTGAGACTTTTGGGAATACTGTGAATCGCAGTCTGGATTCTGCTTAAACAATGACCTTGGGTCATTTACTGTATTAGAAGCCATTTCACCTCATTTTTAGAGCAAACAATCAGGACACTTATTGCTAAATAGTATTAACCCTAAATACACGTTGAAAAATATATTCATAAAGTGAGGTTTGTAAGATACTGTTCAGTTATTTTTCGGAATGATAAATACCCTATTTAGATTTGACAATTTTGGAAATTTCATTGTTAATTATAGTGGCATACTGTGAAACCATGAGCTTGTAAACTAAAATCTTAATCACCTTTTAAAAGAAATGAACCTGACTTCATACTTCAGTTTTAAACAATGCTTTGCCTAAAATTTAAACCTGTTCATGTCAGTGCTTCCAACGTATATGTACCGTGATTAGTTTAGACTCAATTACTTAATTCCTTCCACTATTCATCGGTGCAATATGTATTAATGTTTCTTACGATATGACTTGTTTTTTAAATTTGCTGCCACATTTTTAGTTTCAGAGGCAGCAAAACAAGCCACTGCACATAAAATAGTGACTGATGTTTCAGCTGAAAAACCGAAAGTTAAGGGAAGGGCCTGTGGTCAGTGTGAGATAAAGAGTGCACTCCTGGTGAGTAGAACCAAAAAATAAAAATAAAATTAGAGGTATCCTGACTGTGGAAAATGTGAGTATGCTTGTGAGGATATTTGAGTGAAAACCTAGGAAGAAGCTCAAATGTGTGTCAGGAATGCCAGACTTGTTCAGGTTATTCATGAAAACCAACTATATACTGCCATTGTGAAGGATTTGTATGTCTGCAAAGGACAGCAAAAGGTAGCAAAAATAATATTTTCTTAAAAATATTTTGGAATAACTGGCATTCTGTTGGAAGTTGAACAGCGGTAGCTGTAACTATTAAATTGGTCTAGAGACTGACATGAATCACTGGTTCGATGGTTTGTGCCAGTTTGTTTTTTGTCTGAACAGCTGTTTGGCGCTTCCCAGACCCAGCTTTTTTGGTGGGCACCCACTCTGGTAATGCTCCCAACCTGTGATGAGAGATGGGCACACTCAGATGAGGAAGTGGGGCAGGGAAACCAGCAGTGCTGCTGGTGAGGGGACGATTGCATGGAGGAGGCAAAGGTAGGAAGCACACTGCTGCCAGTGAATGGGCGATGGTGTTGAGGAGGTGGGGGAGGGAAGTGTGCGGCACCCGCAGAACTCCTGTCTGGGAACTGCACTGAATTCAGCTGAACTGCCAAACCGTGATTCATGCCCATTTCTAATCAAAAGTTGGGAGAAAGCACTTCTGCGGCAAGGCTCCCCAGGGAGTGGCACTTTCAAGAGACTCTCACTTAAAGATGTTAACCTTCAAACAGATCTGTAACAAGACAGGTGGTTTCCTAGATGGCCAGGCATGAAGCAGTTTAGGGCTTTAAAGGTTATGCCATCATTTAATATGGGGCCCATTAAGCAACTGGTAAACCATGCAGGTCTTTCAGTTTTGTGATGGCATGACCTGAATATAATGCACCAATTACTAGTGAAATCCCTGTTAAGATAAGTAGACTGTGAATGTATAATACTTCTTACAATATCTCTTTATCTCTCTGCCTCTGTTTGGTCCACTTCAACAGACCGAACAGAAGTAATTCACAATCATTGTGTCTGTTTTGCTGCTCACATTGAACTTACTATTAGGGTCTTTTTGATATATTTTTCCCATCTTAGAATTTAACATCTTCACAGCATTTGACCTATAAATGGTTTCAAAAGATTTTGTGAGCAAGCTTTCTCATGCTTACTTTGTGTGAGCCTTTAAAATTAGTAAAGTTTGATTAGCTTTTGCATGTTCTCTGATTTCACAGTGAATTAATGTTTTAGTAAAAAAGACAGCACTTTCTGCCAGGTGGTAAAAGAGAAAGTGACAGAGTTCCTGTAGATAAGACAAACAGCAGACCATTGCAGTAGCATATGCCTTGTCGTCTTGATTGATGTCTTCTAAAAATCCCTGGAATAAATGATTCACTATTCTCTTAGGAATCTTCTGGTTTATTTATTTTATTTATTTATTGGATTTCTATCCCACCCATCTAGACCAAAAGTCTACTCTGGGCGGTTTCCAAATTTAAAAGCAATAAAACCATAAACATATAGATCCAAGGTGGCATTAAGACATATTAAGATATGGCAGGAGAGAAAGCCTGCCCAAATAGCCAGATTTTAAGTCTGTTCCTGAAAATACCCAGAGAGGGAACCAGGTGGATTTCTACTGGCAAGTTGTTCCAAAGGCGAGGGGCCACTGCTGAGAAGGCCTGGTTCATCGTTCTTTCCTTCTGGACCTCCCTCGGCGTTAGGCCCCTCAGCCACCCAGCCTGGCTGGAATGAGTGACTCTGGCAGAACTGGGTGGGAGAAGGCACTCTGCCAGATATTGAGGTTCTTAACCGTTTAGGGTTTTATATGTAATCGTAAGAACTTTGAAATCAATGCAGAAATGAATGGGCAGCCAATGCAAGGCGGCCAGCGTGGGGGAAATATGTTGGTACCTTTCCACCCCTTTGAGAAGTCTGGCCGCCACATTTTGTACCATCTGAAGTTTCCACATCAGTCTCAAAGGCAGCCCCATGTAGAGCACCTTACAGTAGTCTAATCTTGAGACTACGGGCGCATGGACCAAAGTGGTCATCCATTGCCTCCTGCTGTGGTAGCCTTCGCAGCCATGGGCAGCAGTAAGGGACACTGGCTACCCTTTGCAAAGATGGTGGCTGTAGCTTCATTTAGGATAGGGAAGCTGCAGCTGCCATCTTGTAAAGGGCAGCCTGGATTCCCTTAGCCTAATCCAGGCTGCCCTTTGCAAAGATGGAGGTTGCAGCTTCCCTACCCTAAATGAAGCCGCAGCCACCATCTTTGCAAAGGGCAGCCAGTGCCCCTTACTACAGGCAATAGTGGCGGAGACCAGCTGGAGACCACTGCTGTGGTGGTGGCGGCGATGGCAGCAACAGTGGTGGTGGTATGGTGGCAGCGGCAGTGACAGCGGTGGGGGTGGGGTGGAATGTTGGCTGCAGGGTGCTCAGATTTTTTTTAATACAGCCTCTGGCTGTCTAATCCCCCACAAATCAACAAATTTGTGCTTCGAGACCAGCTGGAGACCACTGCTGTGGTGGCGATGGCAGCAACAGTGGTGGTGGTGTGGTGGCAGCAGCAGTGACAGCGGTGGGGGCGGTGGTGGGGTGGAATGTTGGCTGCAGGGGGCTCAGATTTTTTTAATACAGCCTATGGCTGTCTAATCCCCCACAAATCAACAAATAAATTTGTGCTTCGTAGGTTCTTGGGGGGAGCTCCGTGCTTCGTCAGCTTTGATGGATCATGAAGCAGGATGAATCACCAAAATGGCGATTCATCCCATCTCTGATCCTTACTTAAAATTGCGTAAAACTACATATACTCTTTGAAATAGTTACTGTTGCCCTGAAAAGCATCAGAATATGTCCTTGGCCTGTCCTGATCCTTCAGACAGTTGTAGCTCTTTTGAGAATACAAAGGCATACAGTCATGTATTCTTTGCTTTCTATCTGGAAATTGAGTCATTGCAACTGGACTTCTTTCTTATCAGGTTGAAATGTTATGCCACTCATCCAAGTAGCTTCTTCAGTCTGAGGAGAGTTGGTTGGAGATCCCTGATATATCTTCTACATTGGTTTCACTTCACCCTGGTCTGAATAGGCTCTTTAGATGGAAAAAGGATTGGGGTTGAGTGAAAACCTCATTTCTGCAGTCCTTCTCCACCCTTTGTCATGAGTCGTTAACCGTGGTCTTTCTGACGTGTGAGGTCCTGATCGTTCTGGGGACGGATGAAAGGGCAGCATGATAAATAGGAAACAGATTGTATCTAAGGGAGGGATTTTCTATATGCACATGTATGGCTTCTCTGACCCCTCTCTCAAACCACATATCTTCTTGGTCCAAAATGAGTACATATTCAGTGAAGGAACACTGCTGATTATAGTCCTGAGCCATTGCCCCTCCTGGGCCATTCTCCTACTTCTTGGTCCAAAATGAGTACATCTTCAGTGAATCCTTCCAATGACACTCCTCTGCATTGGACTGCCTATACTATATTGCTCCTGTTGTGTTTTGGTGTCCGGTCTTTTGGATGGATGAGTCTCTGCCTTAGTGTGTTTGTGGGTTTTTAGTGCACGAGTATGTGGTGTTTACCAAAAATCTTTTGAGCTTTTCAGACACACCCACCACGTAAGGAAATGACCAGGTTTTTCCCCAGCTCTGAGCCCTCAGACTCCTCCATTGTCTTGCTGGGTCAGGACATTGCCTTGTTAAAGACCCATTTTAGATATTCACGGGCCTTTAGGGCTGTCTTCAGATATCCATCTTTGCCTTTGCCTTCTAATGCTGACCTAGCCCTTAGGTGGGTTTTAATTCCCCTGTGGACTTTCTTGATTCTGGACTTTCAACAAGGTTACTCATGTTTTTAGACCTTGTATTTGTTTCTTTTTGGTTAGTCAGCAATGTTTCCAAAACATACACTGCCTTATTGTGTCTTGAGAGGTGCTTTGTGGGTAAGCTAATTCTAAGCTTCTAAAGTTAGGCTAAATAGACATTTGCATTAAAGATAATAAATGGTTGCTTAGAAGAAGAAAAATGGGAGCAAACACAAATGAAATATTAAAATTTGTTCAGTCAGGTGGTTAAAATGTTTCTGAATGTGAACCTGTCATCTTCGAGGGATGAGTCTAGGAAGCAGGGATAGAGAATGACAGACCCATGAGACAAATGTGGTGTGAGGGGGTTGAATTACTCATCAAGTCTGGGAGCTGGTTCTAGTATCTCTGGTGATGATCAACGATAAGAAAGCATTTAAAGGCATTTCAGTAACCCTGCATAGCACTGATCTACAGTTCCAGTACTTGCAGGTTGTTGCATTAGTGCTGACATGCAGAAAAAATAGTGTTTAGTATGCTTACTAGGGAGACATACAGATGGGTAAGAATTATACCTGACCTTACCTGCTGTATTCCTGGTCAACCTCCATATCCTTAGCCTCACCCTTTGCTGAAATGTGTCCCTAAATGCCAATTTGGCTGCTGGAGCAGGAGGAAAAGTTTTTGTACGACTGCATTTAGAGTGGACTGCAGGCTTCTATCCTTTGAGATGTAGGCCTGGGCAACATAAAAGTTACAAGGTGAAAGAGAAGAACATAAAACTTTTCTCTAGGGTGATATAATGGTGGGAGATATGTGACAAGCTCGATGATGTCCATCGAGAACTATTTATATTGAAAATGCAAGTGTAAAATGAAATATTGAGCTGGTACAGTTCAGTTGATTGTAGCACCTAGCTGAGGAGCCAGTGGCTGGGAGTTTGAATCCACACTGTCTTCTTGAGAGAGAAGCCAGTTGAGAGTGTGTGGCTTTGGGCAAACTATATGGCTCCACAACACCACCAGAAGGAAGAAATGGGTAAACCACTTCTTCTTGCTTTATATGCAGGAAACTCTTGTAGGGTATCACCCTAAGTTAGAATTGATTTGACACCATATTATTATTATTAGTCCGTATACCCATATTTGGGCCAGGAAACAGGAAATAACAAGGCGAGGCCCATTGGAAATGAACAGGTGAACTCTGAAAGTGATTTGACTCAGCAAAATTCACACTTTTTTGACATGCAAGTATATAGAATTAATCATTGGTCTAGGTATTTGTAGATGACCCATGCTTGTATAACATGTAAATATTTTTAAGTACTGGCAGACTCAGGAAGTTCCTAGATACGAGTTGTACCAGATTGCTTTGTTTGTAACATTAACCCTAGTAAGCACCAAACTCGTACTTTCAAGTTTAAAACTAGCTTTTGTTACGCCAGAGATTTGATTTGAGGATACAATCTCAGAAGATGTATGTGAGACTGAACAGATGATAGAGGAAGTTGTAATACTGACTGAAAAACAAACCATGTAGATCAAGGGTATTGAAAATGTAACAGACCTGTATCGACTTTAAATCTATCTGTTTAAGACAGATAATTTTGCTTCTGTAGTGATATTGAATCTGTTGAAACTAATACGAGGCCTTGAATCAACTAATCACAGTTACAGTTTAGTGATCATATTAATATTTTCATCTTTTAAAAATGGATTTGGTTGCAGATTTCTACCTGCTATTACGCATGCCTCTAATTGTATAGTTAAAAGCTTACAAATAAAATAAGAATTCATTTGTTCAGTACATGGCATTTATTGTTTGTTTCCTATATACAGTACTTGGCAATATGCATAGCTGTGGTTTAATTGTAATAGTTTTAGGCTATTAGGTGCCTCTCACTCCGTGAGATATAATGTAATTTAATACAATATAATGTGTGCTTTGTATTTGAATTCACTCATGTGCAGTGAAGCTGAACTGATGATATATCAAAACATATTGTACCAGGTGGTTCAGGTTGCCTTGTTAGTATCATCACTTGAATGAGAATGAATCAACAATTTTGGTGACAACGGAGCCTGAATTAGAATTCAGCCAAAAGGTTTTGATGGTTTGAGTTTCAGACATAATATGTCTTGACTTCAGCAACGTTTTTGACAGAGTGCCTCATGATTTTCTGATTGGCAAGCTAACTAGGTGTGGGCTAGAATGGCAGATGGATACACAGAATTGTACTCAGGGAGTGCTCATCGGTGGTTCCTTCTCAAACTGGGAGGAGGTTACAAATGAGATACTAACAGGCTCAGTCTTGGGCTTGATGTTCTTCAGCATTTTTATTGATGACTTTGCTAAGGAGATGCTGGGAATACTTTTCAGATTGGCAGATGACAAGAAATTGGGTGGAATTGCTAATACCTTGGGAAGACAGGAACAAAATTCAAAAGGTAGGCTGAAAACAACAGAATGAAATTTAACAGGGATAAGTGCAAAGAAAGGCAAATGCTATTTTAAGCTGCGTTAAGAGAAGCATAGTCTCCAAATCCTATGAAGTGCTTGTTCCCCTCTATGCAGGACTGGTTAGGCCTCATCTTGAGTACTGTGTCTGGTTCTGGACACCACATTTTAAGAAAGATGCTGGCAAACTGGAACATATTCAGTGTGGAGATATGATAGCATTCTTTAAAGATAGTCATACAGAGGAGGGACAGGATTTGTTTTCGATCATCCCAGAGTGCAGGACATGCAATGAGAGGGTCAACTGACAGAAAGCCACATTTGAGTTAAATATCAGGAAAAACGTAGAGTAGCAGGACAGTGGAACCAGTTACCTTGGATGGGGTTGGGAAGGGCCATATTAGATGAAGTTGTTCATTGGGACCTTAAAGGCTCGGTCCAACAATTTGTATTTTCCCCATAGATAAGTCAGGTGTCAAATTTCCCAATAGAGATGGTAAAGAATGGGAGTTTTATGCTCCAAGCTGTAGGTCCCAATAAGGATGACTGTTGCTTCTTTTTGGACCAGTTGAAATATCTGAGCACAGTTCAGCAGAAATAAAGCACATTGAAATATTACAGGGTGGCTATATCTACCAGCTGAATTTTAAACTCTCTTTGTTGAAAAGTATTGGTAAGGAAGCATATAGTTTTTTGAACTGGGAAAAAAAGTGTTCAGAATAGAGCACAATGATTTTGATTGACGATTCTGTTGTTTACTGGCATTGATATTGCGTGCATCATCAGGGGAGGCCTCTCAGTCATGCCACCCTCACATGTGTGTTTAGTGAGGACATGAGGGGGGGCTTTTCTAGTGCTCCTCTCTTGCTGTGGAACTCCTTCCTATGTAATATTGTAAGCGGTGTTGGGCCCTATTGGGGAGAAAGGTGACATATACATATTTGAAATAAAACTAAATAATAAATATTATTCAGGAGATGTGATATTGCAACAGCAGGGCCTGGCTGCAATGATCAGTGGGGTCCCTTTCAGCTCTGCACTTTTAAGAAGAAGAAGATGTTAACTAATGCAGTTAATGAACTACATGGATCGCTTTTTCATTCAGCTGAGAAGAAGAAGAAGAAGAAGAAGAAGTTAACTAATGCAGTTAATGAGCTACATGGATCACTTTTTCATTCAGCTATAAAACACTTTTTGTTTTATCGATGTGTTATTTAATTAATTTATTATTTCATTAATTTATTTATTTTCATTAGTATACTGATTTTCTCCCAATTAAAGGATCCAAGGTGGCTCTTGATGAACAAGTCAACTAAAACCACAAATTATAACACTGGGGAAAAAATTAAACATGTAACTATTAAACAAATTAAAATAATTTGTTTAAACTGTTAAAAGCACATTAAAACATATAAAATAAAAATAGTGTCCAGCAGAGAAGATAAAAAACCATCCAATTACTTAAAAGAGTGGTATGTTACCATGGGGTAAGAAGTATATCTCTAATGAGCAAAATGTGTAAGAAATCTGCATGCAATAAGATAGTGAAGTTTTAATAGAATCTGTGTTTTTAAAACTGAAATAAGTGAAGTAAGTTTTTCATCCATGTTTAGAATTTTTTTACAAAAATATTGTTTGATCATCTGTTTAAAGCTCCTGCTGGCTTTACTGTAAACTTCCTGGAGGCAGACAGTGACAATGGGATGATAAATCTTCAGTGGAGGCACTTGTTTTAGGAGTGACGAAGCTGTAATGAATGATCAAACATTAGTTGGAAACTTAAATCCAACTGACATATCCTTTTCTCTGTTTTCAACCTTTTGTCATGAGATTAGAGATTGATAATGAATAATTAATATAATGACTGTAGAGCAGAGGCCTGCACTGATGTACCTGGGAGTCCTGTTTAACTCAGTGGGGAGAAACATCTGAGTAGACTAAAACAAAGTGCTATTTGTTTTAATATGTTCAATTTCTTTTTCTCCAGATGTGCTTAGAATGTGGAGAAGACTATTGTCCAGGCTGCTTTGCCAGAATGCACCAGAAGGGGGCACTGAAGCTCCACAGAACAACTTCTTTACCGGTATACTGTATTTCATTTTAAGGCTCTGTTCTTACAGTTGCAAAATCTTTCTCTTCGAGGAGGGCAGTATAAATATTAAAGATGTTGATGGTGATGGTGTGCGGTTCTTTCATTATCTTATGTACAATTCTTTTGTTAGGTTGGGTCTCTTGATATATGACAATTTGGGCGCAGAGCAGCTCTTGCATAGATTTGTTAGTGAATGAAAGGGACAGGGCTTGATGTCCATTTCTGAGTGCCATGTGTCTAACAAAAGCATTCAGTTTGCATAGCTTAAACTTTCCTGCAGGTGAGATGCTTCGATCAAACTAAGTTTGTCTTTCAGAGCACCTTCTTTCTCCCTTGTCAGATTGATCGTACAGAAACCGAAACTAGTACATTTTGATAGTGCAAGGATTTTTGCATACGTTTTTTTTTCTTTAGCTGTATTTTTTATGTATTTGTTCCTGTTAGAGATACTGGGCAAAATTCAGTATTAAGTTGTAACTAGAGTAGTTCCATTGAATTGGGGAATTACAGAGCCAGTGCTTCTGTAAGTGACATTGATTCCAATGGGCCTACTCACATATACTATCACAGTGCTATGAGAGATGGTTCTGTGTGGCCAGAATCATGCGGCTTTTTAAATTTTGTGGTGGTCCATAGAATTCTTGAAAGATCCTGAAAGCAAAATAATAGCCCATGGAAGTCACTGAAGTTGTGTACCTCTGCTTTAGAAGGGAATTAGACAAATTTGTGGAGGATAGGTCTGTCAGCATGAATTTGCCATGATGTCTGCATGAGTTATTAGTGCTGAGTATGGGTTTCTGGAAAGCAACAGGGTAAGGCTGTTGCCTACTCATCATTTCTTTGGACTTCCCCAAGGTATCTGATTCAACTACTGTGTGAAGCAAGGTGATAAGACTAGATCCAGCAGTACTGTTTCTATAGCCTTAATTGCAAGCAGAAGTCATGCCATTACTACGACAAACATAAGTCAAATATACCACAAGAATGTAGCTACTTGCTCTAAGCTAAGGAGACAATTATGATGTATTGTTGGGTAAAACAGTACATGACATCATGCAGCCCTGAACAATAGAGAAGACGGCGTATATAATTTCTCTGACTGAAATACAGTCTAATGGGAAGAGTCTCAGGTGGGAGTTTTTCACTATCTGAACAACAGAATACTATGTCATATCTTTCCTTGGTGGTCTAGATCTAAAACATGAAATAAGGCCCCATAAATTATATTAACAGAATCACCTGATTGATTTAATCATAGTTTTTATAACAGTGATAGACAATGATAGGGTTATTTGAAGATACCTTATATATCTATACTCCAGAATGTATCCATTTCAGGAGTTCTAGTGAAGGGGAAAGAGGAACAAATCACAGGCTCAAGGTTACACGCTTAGGATAGGATATAGTGGGTTGGATCCAAACATAGTTGTGGTTAGCATAGACTACTTGATTTCAATGGATCTTCTGTTAAGCAAGATTAAGTTCAATCTATTGTCTTAACAGTGAAGAAAAATGCTGGAATGAAATGAATTATCGGAGGCATCAGGAGTTGCTCCTGATTTGTGGGTGCAAATAAATGTTGAGACAATTGTGGTTGCTGAGGTTGATCTTTTATCATAAGCACTTTTCTTTTGGTATATACCAGTATGATCTGACTAGAGGCTTATAATTCATCTGCCTTCCTGAAACATTTTATTCTTTTTCTTTGATTTTATTCCAGCCTTGATATTGACCACTCTATGATGCTGGCTGTTCAAAGTATCTTCTCTTTTTCAAAATAATCATGACTTGAATTACACATATCTGTGAGGGACAATTACACGGCTTAAAACTGACTTTTGTCCTGCTCTGACTTCCTGATGTTTATTATCAAAAAGCAAATACCCACAGAAACCTAAGGATGCCTTCATACACGTAGCAAGATCAGGCAAACAGATGTACAAAGAGTGATGCAGACTCTGAAAGGCAAAAGAGTAGAGAATGTCAGGTGCTTAAGTAACAAGCAATGTAGTGCAAAGCAATTAGACTGCCTCTTTACAACATAAAAGAGCATTGCTAATTCCTGCAGAAGAATTAGAGAATTTACATAGTCTGTTGTTCAGGCTGTTGATTCTATTGGAACATCAGTTTCAAGTATTGCTCTTCAAAACATTTGCTAGTGAGTGGTTCAGGTGCATCTTCTGCCTCATGGGCATGCAATAAAAAGTGTTTTGTTTTGTTTTTTAAGTGCATTAACAAAGATGTTGCTTGTAGAATTGCCTCTAAAATTCTTTAGGCTTGTTGTTTCTTCCTTTAGCTAGAAAATGGCTTGTTGCTGCTGTTGAAATAATCCCACCCAACACTTTGTATGAATATTTTAAAAGTTTATGCCATTGAATAGATTTGCATGTGATGTTTCTGATCTTTCAAACTGGCAAACTGTGAGCTATGTTTAACTTTTCCAAATCAGCACTGGATAAGACCTTCTGTTTTCCTAAGGAATGCAAATACAAACAATAGTATGCAATAGGCAAAAGAACCCAGAATAATTGATTGAATCTGAGGAGGGGAAGGAAGAGGGAGGGAGGAACAATTGGGATTTGGAGTGACTGACTATTTTCATGTGAACTAGCTCAGTGTCCCCTTGCCTGCTGTGGTTTTATCAACTCTCCTTCCCTGGTCCCCACCTGATTTTGGTCTCAGCAATTTCTCATTTTATATTAATTTTATCTAATTGGTAAAGCTTTACTTTTACTATTTTCAGTTTATGGGGTTACAGGTAAGTAACCTTTCTTTTTACTATTTTCAGTTTATGCTTATTGTGGCAACTGAGATTCTGTTGTGCAATCTGCCAGATTCTATAGTGTTTACAGAGCACTGTATGTGTTTAAATACTTGTAATCTCTAAACCAGGGACAGTTTGTAGTTCAGTGTTGCAGAGATACAACTCTCTCTGAAATTCTGGCATAGGGTATTCCCCTCTGCTCAAGCTGTGAGCCATCTGTGTGCTAAGCTATTTTCTTTGATTCTCTTATTTTCCCCACTTTATTCAGAATATTAAAATAATTCTTGAAATTCCTAAGAAAACTATGTGCAAATCCTGCATAAAATCTATTCAGGTGGAAGAGATTCCTTGTTGACTGCATCTACGATTTTAGGTACTGGAGTAGAAAATTTAGCTGCACCTACAAGATAATCTCCTTTCATTGATTATTCAGAAATTTTATTTAAACATATTTAAATGTTGTTTTATTTGATCTGCTTGGTTTGGATTCAGCAGATTACTTCTTTTGTCCACAGGTAAAGTCAAGAGTCCCTGTTGGAAAATTAGAAGCTGCACAGCAGTTCCTGAAGGTAGTTTATCCTGAGGAACCTAATGGCAGGATAAACAAGGAAGAAAAGAAGGAAATTAATGATAAATTAGAAGATAGATCAGACCTTTCTTCACTTTTATCTGAAGTACCAATGTATAATCTTGAGGCAAAACAAGTAGTTTGTTGTTAAAAGCACTGGTCAGATTCCTGTTGCTGTTTTGTATAACTTGCTGCAGCTAACTGGACTGAGGCGCTGGGGTGCATCTTGGTTGTGCAGTAGAGCGTGTGACCAGGCATGTGACTGAAACATGCCCTGGCACTTTGTCAGCAGCAATTAGGTGCCACAAGGGAAGCCACCCTTATGTGAACACTACTACAATTCTGGCCAATGTATGCTTAGAAATGTATGTTTTGTAGATATAGTCAAGAACTGGGTGTGATCCAGCCAAGGTTAAACATTTCTAAGCTTCATACATGGGCAACGAAGCTAAGGAAATTCCTTGTGCAAACACTTCATATGAAAGAGTAGGACCTAAAACAAACAGATAATCAAAACAGGGAGATACCTCAGTGGCAAAGCACATGGTTTATATTCTGATGCCCTAAGGTTCTCTATTGCAGAGGTCGTCAATTTTTTTCTTATCGTGGACTGGCTGAGCCTCTGAGGGAGGTGGACACCCCCTTGCGCTCACACTCTTGGATGCATGCACAAAGCGGTGGGGGATCGCCGCCGTCGGTCTGCAAAGACAGACCTCCCCCTCCCCTCTCCCCTCCCCACAGCTGTTTTGCGTGCACAGGCGCATGCATGAAGGGGTGGGAGAACACTCACGCTGGCGCTGGCACACGCTCGTGTGTGCAAAGCAGCTGTGGGGAAGTACGTACAGGGGGGTGGGAGGTCTGTCTTCGCGGCCCGGTCCGGCTCATGCCAGGGATCGGCAGTGAACCGCGGACCGGGGGTTGACGACCTCTGGTCTATTGGAAAGGAGGTCTCAGGAGAGCCGGGCTGTGAAATATCTTAGAGAACCTTTGCCAGAGCAGATAGTGTAAGATCAGAGAATCTGACACCTGAATAGTTCCCCAAGAGCCCTACAGAACATTATATACCTCCAAGGAAAAATCAGAAGCCTGTGTTTGTCACAGCTGGCATTAATCTCAGTTAAGGGTTAATTTCAGAATGGAATCGAACAGTCATTTCCAATCATTTCAAAATTCATCTGGGTATCAAGGAATAAGTCTTTTCATTGTTGCAGTGATTCCAGGCAATATCAGCTGCTCTAATTGTACAAGCTTTATTTATCTGCATTTAGGAACAAAAATGTTTCACAGTTGTTGAAAACAAAAATCTTACAGCTTTGTAAAAACTGAAGGCACAAATGCTTAAAAATACATGAAAACTAAGCAGATTTCAATGCAAAATACAATAAAAGCATTACATTCTAAAAATCGAAGTGATTATAGTCTAAAAAGGCAGCTAAAAACAATGATAATCCGTTCCAATTGGAACGGATTACCATCCTTAAGCGAAAATCCCCATAGGAAAAAACGTTAAGCGAAATCCATTGAAATGCATTGAAGCCTATTTCAGTGGGGGGGAAAATTCACAAAAAACTCAAAAAGACTCAGAACAAAGCCAAATTAAGTTAACGAAGGTTTTATTAGGTGCACTAACGATTCCAACCATTTTAAACATTGTTTAAACATTTTAGAATATTTTAAAAATAGCAAAAACGGGGCTGTAAAAAAAACATTAAGCGAAACAAGGGGACCTAAAACTGTCATCGTTAAGTGAAGCATGGTCCCAAAATCGTTAAGCGAAAATCGCCCATAGGGAAAATCGTTAAGTGAAGCACAAGATCGCTCCGAAAAAGCCATCGTTAAGTGAATTTTTCGTTGTACGAAGCAATCGTTAAGCGAGGCACCACTGTATCTCTTTAAAATATCAAAGTTCTTAAAAGTAAGAATATATAATTCATTTCATAGCCCTTAAGCGTATTTTAATAATACACACACACACAAAAATAACTCTAAGTGCTCAACCAGCTAAGCCAGTATGAATCTATGGAGGAAAATCCATGTTGTCCATGTCTGCTGCCTTTGTTGTTGCTATTGTTATACACTTGTTGTTGGTTTCTGCTGTGTGTTGCCTGCTGTGTTACCTTGTGATGTGCATGTGTTTCGTGCCTGCTCTATTTATATTTCAGATATAAACAATTGATTTTTGCTGGACTTGTAAGTACAGGTCATGATGCACCAACAGACATTTTTATAATTAGAATTTCAATTGTTTTGGTCATTCCTGTAAAATATGTCTCCTGTCATATTTTATAGGAATGACCAAAACAATTGAAATTACAGATATATATTCTTATATTCAGTCTTTTGTTTACATCCATGCTGAACTGGGAATGAATTTTAGTTAATCCTAAGTAATTGTTGAACTTAATTCAGGAGGCTTCTACAGCTCCTTCTTCAGAGGTTAGGTTGGAGAGCCAGAATGGAGGATCATTACTACAAGGTACTTTTGATGAAGAAGTATCTGCAAAGTCTTTTCAGCAAGTTCTGAATCAGTGGAGAAGTGGAAACTGCTCTCAAAAATATAAGGAAGAACGTTCATGTCAGGTTGAATCAGGTATGGGTTATTACATGATAAGTAATATTTGAAAAAGCAGACTGCATCTATTTTGCTCATTATACATGATCAGCATACAAAACTAGGGTATTTGTTAGTCTCAAATGTTTGTATTCACCTAAATATGAATATATTATATAGTAAACCCCAGAAAGTGAGGAATTGTGTGTATCTGCTCCTGGGTTTAAAAAAATACTGTATATTTACAATAATTATAATGTGCTGTTGATTTCAGCTTATGGTGACCCTTTCCACGGTTTTCTAGACATACAATACTTAGAAATGGTTTACTGTTCTCTTCTTCTGAGGGTGCCCTGGGACTGTGCAGCTTGCCCAAGGCTACATAGGCTGGCTGTTCTCCCAAGAAAACCAGAAGGGAATCATACTCCCAGCTTTTGACTCAGCAGCCAGATACCTAATTCAGTGAGCTATTCAGCCCTCTGCCTGCTTGCTTATTTAATACTAGAAGCATTCATTGATCACATTTCAGCCCATGAGAGAACTTAGAGCAGCAATGGCGAACCTATGGCACACATTCCACAGCTGGCACCGAGAGCCCTCTCTGTAGGCACGCAAGCCATAAGTCACCGGATCGGTACTCCTCCCCCAGCCAAACCTGAGAAGTGGGCTGCACCTGCCACCCACTGGGTTTTTTGTTTTGTATGTGTTTTTTCCCCCAGTTTGGGCATTCAAACCCAAAAAGGTTTGCCCTCACTGCCCTGGAGTGATACATAAAACCAGAAATGTTGTCTTAAAAATGGTAAAGGACAGAATATATAGTTTTAATATGAGATCTTCACTGATGATCTCAAATTCTATACAGGCTCATAAAGAAGATGGTGCTTGTTCAGTTATCTTAGTCCCAAGCCATTTAGAGCTCTCAAAGTCAAGTCCAGTGCCCTGAACTGAGCTTTGGGAGCAAATGGGCATTTGGGAAATGTTGGTATTGTCTAATGACATAATATTACCTTGGTTTTGGGGGCAAGGGAACCTTGTGTTTATGTGCACAAGGGGTAGTACTATATTATGTGTAAGGGTGGTACTGTGTTTTATACTAGCAATGTTTACATTTCTATGTTACTGTTTTGTGGAGTTTAAAGGAAAACTTGTTAGTTGTGTTAGAGTGCTTGAGTTACTGTTGGTAGGTAGACGCAATTAAGGTCCTAATACTGTATATTTGAATAGCAACTAATCTTTTCTCTATGTTGTTACAGAAAATTCAGGTACCTGCCAGGTGCAGACAAGTCCTCCAGTTCTGAAAAAACCTACTGAAATTGAATTCAAAGAAGATAGCTTGACATATATGGAAAAATTATTGATTAAGAAGCATAGAAGGTATTTATTGGTTTACTGCCATACCATATCACATAACTATACAGCAATAATGGAAAATATTTCCGTCCAATATGTTGCTGATCTGAAATGTTTATTAGGAATGACATACCAGATGTCAATATATCTTATGGTGTTATGTCACCATGTGATGAAAAAAAAATTAATAAAACTGGCTAGTGAACAATTGTAATGGATTTGAGTTTCTGTGTTAGTAGAAGAAAATTATTTGGATGTGTTTTAATGTGGTGAACAGTTTTTTAAAATTATGCTTAAGTAGTTCAGTGGAAGATGATTGAGGCCCAGGAAGAGATGAAAAAGACTCAGCTATTTTCGAAGTACCTGAACATTGAGGATAGTTATATTATTTGTGCCGACAAAGTTACTTAATGGTATGATAATAGACTGAAGGGGTAAAGCATTCACTTCCTTTTTTTTTTGCAGAACTCCAGTAGATAAGTTGCCATATAGCATTATAGAAGATGAGCTGAAACTTGAAACATCATTGATAAATGAAACTCAAAATACTTGTTTTGAAAAAGAGGAGGAGGAGGAGGAGGAGGAAGAAGAAGACATAGCAGTTGCTCGTATTGAAGGTTTGCTGGGCTTTGCAGAACATTGTAAAGTATCTTATTCTCCCCATAGACACGTCATTCCAACAATCCTGTTAATTCATTGGGCTTTTGGAAGAATAATATTCACTGATCATCCACAGTAGGACAACTGAACATTGGACACAAAACTAAATTAGGATCTGTTGGTTAAATACAGTAATAAGTCACAACTAGAATAGGCCCATTGAATTAAAGAAACTTTTGAAGAAGCTGACTCATCAAATCCTCACTGATTCAATAGGCCTCCTCTAGTTACAACTTACTGTTGGATTTATGCCATTGTATGCGATCAGTTTGTACAGTGACGCATTCCTGCATAAAAATGTGCAGTTGCAGTAATTACATGTGCATTTTCACCTTGTCCTCAGTAAGAGAGTGAAAAATCAAGCTACGTTCAGTGATTCTTCTTGTAACAGAACTAGTATGAACTGCTAGTTTTTTTGAGGAATGTATTGGGGCCTACAAATATCCAGGCTTTCATATTTCCATTTGCTCCAAAGTCCTAACAAATACAAAGAACCTCTGTCGCATTGGGAATCTGGATAGAGAAAGAAGTTGGAAAAAAATTGTCGTCTGCTGCTTCTCATATCCAGAGTCAAGGCAAGCTGATGAATGATTCCTTCTCTCTAGTTTCTTGCCTGATGAAGAGATGAGATACTTTTCTTTGTTAAGGGGGTGGGACCCAATGGGAGAGCACTTGTTTTTCTCTCTGCACAAGTGGAAGCTTGTCTGATATTTTTGGGAGGGCTCCTCTCTTTTTAGAGGCACTTGCATTTGGAAAGCAGACAGCAGAATTGTGGATCTTGATTATGGTATCTGTGAAGCAGCAACATTCAGGTTAGAGGGAGTAGAGAGAGAGGTACCTTTTGCCCTACATATGCTTTTGGTTTGCAATTCCCATCAGTCTTAACCAGCATAGCCAATGATGAGGAATCATTGAGTTTTCTATCTAGCGCTATCTGGAGTGCTGCATGTTTCCCATCCTACTAAAAGTAGAATGTCTAGGGTTCAGGTGCTTCTCTTACACTTCGCACATGATATTCCAGTATGCTTTTAGGATAAATTATTACTGTTGACTTAGATCCTGCAGCTTTTCAAAGAGGTACTGAAGCTTCCTTCCTTCTAGTCTGCCTGTATTGCTCCTCTGCCTTCCCCAGGCTTGCCTGCCACTTGGGGGTGGGGGTGGCAAAAGGGCACTGCAGCAGCACACATCTCAACTTTTCTAGCACTGTGCTGGGATGTTGACATAGAGGCCACATGTTGCTCAGCGGTGAGCCAAATGGCCTGCTAGGCTTGAGGCAGAATGTAATGGTGTCAGCTAAGCCTGGGCCCTCTATTTATAGTGCAAATTATGACTTTCAATGAACTATATTGTACTATTTTAACTATTCTGGCTGTTTGCTTTTACACTATGAGGCCAGATAATACTTTGCTGTTCATGTGTCTTCATTAAGCATAGCTATTTCATAGCTTTACTGGAGCAATTGGGTAGAAATCATAAACACAAATAATGGTGGAACTTATTTTTTAATTCCAGCTGAAGAAATGAAAAAGTACTGGACAGATGTTTTCAAAAAAGAGCCAGAAGTAGTTATGATAAACTCTGAACCTTCCTTAAAAATCAAGATTCTTGAAGATGTGAGTATATGTATTGCCTGGTCAATATAGCTCATATTTTTAATTGCATTTAATATTCTTCATAGAATATGTGGGTGTGGGTGTGCACGCTGTGCCATCAAGTCAAAACCAACTTGCAATGGCCCTAATAGGTAAGTGCAATATTTAAGGATTGCCAGTTCCTTTCCCTTAGTTAGTTTCGATGGCTAAATGGGGATTTCAACCCTGTTCTCTAGAGTCCTAGTCTGTCACTCTGTCCACCACACTGGGGATCTTTACCATTTTGGAAATCTTCGCAGAATATAGATAGCATGAATGAATACAGTCTGATCATCTACTATGTACAATTCAATTGTTTGCATCTGTACGATAATGTTTAACAAAGTCGTATTTGTCTTATATTGCATGACCACAGTAATTTCCCCTGTGACATGCTGAGGACTGGGAGGAACAATCTGTATCATTTAAGCAGAACTGAGGTTGTTTTAAAATGAGCAACAATTAAACAAACAAGGGATTGTTTGCAGTACAAGCTTGCCAGGAGCAAAAATCAAAAGTGTCTTTGGGAACCCCCTTCTTGGATGCACACCTTAATGTTGTGAAGGGGTTTGAATGTGTTGGAGAAACTGGGAGTAGTGCTGTCAGGAGGCTAGACTCCATTAGGAGCCTGGACTCCTAACAGGGTCACCCAATGTTCATAGCTGAAACATCAATCTAAGATGCATCCAGCTTCTTCAGGAGTAACGGCTGCATCAGGAGAAGATAATGAATAGTTTCAGTGTTGATAAGGGTTGAGAAACTATTGGGCAGCAGGAGAAAATGACACTGGTAGAGGATCTTTCACAGGCAATGGTGTTGACACTCAAGCTAACTTACTGTGCAGAAGAAGGGAAAGGTAAACAACTGATGAACTTTTCTTACCTTGAAGACTCCATGATGAGACATCCCAAATGAACAAGAGAGGGTGATAAGACTCCCAGGTCAGAAAGCACTCAGTCAACTACTGGAAAGAGCAGCTTGATTGCTTGAGTTTACATACAATAGCTGAGCAGGGCTGTTGAAGACAGGACATTTTGGAGATTGCTCATTCATTGGTTTGCCATACGTCAGCAGTGACTTGATAGCACGTAACAACTTTGAGAACAGATGATAAGCTTATTGCATATTTTTTCATATTTGGGGGGCTGCTTTTCTTATAAATATTCATCAATGTTAGAATTGAAGTATGTTGCATGTCTAAATATTTCCACATTATTTATTAATTTTACATATCTTTAGGTACAATAATGACATATAATGGCCACAATAAAAAGCAGCATATTGTCATAGAGATCATGACATGCCTTACAAACTAAAACAATATTCAAGGTTAATTTGAGTCAGAATTTATGTACATTTACCCCTTGTATTTGTGTTTTTGATGCTCTGGAATATCCTAAATTATTCTGAGAGATAATGAGTGCCTGTGACTTCCAGAGAGAATCTATGAAAACAGGATTACTATGCACTGATTCCAGATTCAGTCATGAATAACATAGGTTCCATAGATTTCACTGAGTTTCCATATCCATCCCTTAGTAGCAAAGAAGTAAACTCATTCCTTATATGCCTGAAATTCTGAGGAACAGATGATAGTTTGGAGGACATCTCTGAAACAGCTATTGGTTGCTTTACCAATAGCTGAATGTATTGCACACATGCTTATATAATTATGGTGCATACAGCTGACTGTTCTGGACCAAAATTGTTCATTGATTTCAATGTTACCTTTATACATGCACATAAGTAACATGAATTTGTCTCAAAGCAACTAATACAGAATGAATTCACTGGATTTGTAAAAAAATAATGCAATAGCTTGATAAATGTGAATTTGAGATACATTCTGGAATTCCCCCATTGTCTTGCCTTGTTACACTTTAAACAGGGCAAGGTGAAGAAAAAAATAAAACATTTAATGAAACAAGAAGCCATTCTGACTGAACATTAAGGCAGCCAAGGATTTGTAGTATCTTCTCAACTGTAGTATATTATCTTATCTACTATTATATGCAATATATTCATGCCCTAAGACTTTAGGAGATTTAAATAGGTATATGTGTGCATATATATTTTCTCATTAGACTTTCAAAGAAGAGTCAGAAGAGACTGCTACTTTTGTGTTGATGGAAGCAGGATCAGATGAGTTTGATTACAGGTAATGTTTTCTACCTGATTATGAAGTTTAGGTGTTCATAGTTGTGCATATTTGCTATGCACCCCAAGCTCTTGCTTTGCCACAGACCAATGGGAGTTGGAATAGATAGATATTGGAAAGACCGTACCCCTTTCCACATTGTTTAGCTGACGAGCCAATAAGGGAATCATAAGTATTGACAGGCATACTGTACTTGTCCCCAGCATCACACAGCTTCCCCCATGCTGGTATGGGGGAATATTATTTGTATAGATTTCCATAGGATCAGAAACCTATAACATTTGGATTATTGATTCTGTGGAAGTATACATACATAGAGAACTATACATCTAGGCTTTCTTTTTGCTGTTATTTATGCTTACTGTGCAGATGTCAGGGTTGGGTCTGAGGGAGCTATAAGGTAAGGACTGGGTGGCCTCATATTTTAGCCCCTTCAATATCTAGAGCTAACTGTCTATGTGAATAATGCATGAAGAGCTCTTCTATTTTGTAAGTTCAGGGTGTTTTCAGACTCAGAATCTAGGCAGTATGAGACATTTCTCATGTCTGTGAGTCATTTCAGCTAAAGCAAATGGGTCTGCTTAGTATTTCTATGTGCAATAATAAAATTTATCAAGAAAGCAGACTTCCTTTCTTGTTTAACTTGGTTTCATTTTTCTCCATTATGTTTTCTAAATATATAGTTTATATTTTACTTCTCTCCTTTTTTCTTTAAAAATGCAGAGCAGTTATTGTCAAATTTTTGTGGCAGGATATAAAATGCAAAGTCATTTTTAACCTCTTTGAAAATGAAAAATACAATGTAAAATGAGTTTCAATTGGCTTTACTGTAGAAGGTCTCCATTTACAAGGTAATGTAAGTCTTACCGAATTAAATAACAAATAGAAAATCCATCTGTGTGTATACATTTATCTCTCATACAGCTGTAAGAAGATACCTTAAATATGGCAATCAGGTTATTTTTCTCTTCTAATGTTTTATCTCATATCTCAAGTGGTACCATGTCAAAAAATGAGAAAACTGAACCAGACGTTTTTCTGGCACAAGCTGGTAATATTACCACAAGGTCACCTCTTTCTCCTACAGTCGGCAGTGAGAAGTGTTTAACTTTTCTTCATAATGATCTTGAAGAAACTCCTAGAGGTAAGCTTGTACCATTTGCTTCTGTTGCTAAAATAGGACTTGTGTCAACATTGCTTTTTTTCCCCTGTAGAGCAAGTTATATTGTGCTTGTTCACAACTTGCAAGCACGAATAATGTTTTGTCGACTGAATGCAGCACTGAGATGCAACTGCTGTGCTTATTCCCAAGGGCATATCTTCAGAAGAGCTGCTCATATGTCCAGTTGAGTAATGTGATGCAGAACTGGAAGTATATTACATTTCCAAGGAACAGGCAGACACCTTTAGCCTCCAGATAGGTTTAAAAATATTGTGATTGGCTCTGTGGTTAGGCAGGAGGCCAACATAGGCTGAACCTCCCAGCCATCAGATCAGTATCTGATGCGTGAAGTTGGTGAGGTGCACTGATTACTTATGTACCTGCCATCTTGTTAACAAGGTACTGGAAGAAAATGGGTGAAGCTGAAATGTGAAAAGGAATAAATTGGAAAATGAACTAATGTGTTGGCTTTTAGATTTGCGTAAGGAATTCTTAGGTTGGCATGGACATATTTTTCATTCCCATTAATATTTTATTAAGTTTTGAATTTGGAAAACTAAAATAAGGAGAAAGGTAGAAGCCCTTTTCCTTCAATCATTTGTGTAGTACAGCAGTTTCAGCCTAAGTCACAGCATTTCTCTGAACAGCAGTCCTAAATGCAGGTTCCTGGTTTTACATGTGAGCCAATGTAACTGGTGTGTTAATGGCCTACTTTACAGTAATTATTTGAGAGACTACATGCAGGGATTTAAATTGGCATGATCTTTTTTCTTTGTTTCGTTCTTTTAGTGAGAGCACCTTTTTCACAGTCTGAAAGAGCTGATGCTGCCTGCGGCTGTTCTGGGGTAGAAGAAATTGTTCCCACTATCCCTAATAAAAGAGCAATAACAAAAGAAAAATGGCCTGAAACAAAAAAAAGTAGCTCTCACATGTCATTTGAGCAAACGTTTAGTCCTCCCAAATTGGTTCCTGGCAAGCCTTTCCCTGTGATGGAATTGCCCAAAGACTGCAAGCTATCCCTGGAGTTGAATGAAGCTTCACCACTCACTACAAAGGCTTCACTGGTAAAATGATGATGATGATGATGATGATGATGATGATGATGATGATGATGATGATAGAACTATATTCCAGCTTTTTTTGGAGTTTATTTCATTATTATTTGTGGAATTCTGTATTTTCTTGAATATTAGTAAGGGTACATTTGTGGATTATATTGACAATGCTGTACTTTCAACCTCATTTTTAGAATGGTGCCATTTTTATGCTATTAAAACTTGCATAGGGCTTTGGAGGGTTGAGAAGGAAAGGCCAGAACAGGACAGCATGGGATGCAGAACTCATCAAGAGCATGCAGGCATCCCCGTATGTTTTTTCCAGGATCCATTATAAAGGGAGAATGAAGTGAATGTCTGTTCCCCCACCCCTGCCCCCACAAAATTCCAGAATGCTGAATTTCTCTTCACCATTTTTGGGAGGGAGGGATCTTAAATAATTGCTGGTGTGGAGGAGCTCTCTCTCTGTCTCTCTCTCTCTCTCTCTCTCTCTCTCTCTTTCCCAGTCCACATAGTGGCTTTTTGATGGAAACTTGGGAGTTCTTGGAAATGTGGAAGATATTTTATCAGTTTGAAGTTTTCATTCCCTTGGGGAGAAAGTGCAGAGGCTTTTGGTCAGTAGCCAAAAATGAGCAAGGTTATTGCACCCCAGTAAAACAAACAAACACACACACACACACACACACACACACACACACACACACACACACACACACATACAGACTTTTTGTTGTGTGGGTTTTTTTTTGTTTTTTTGTTTTTTGCTCCTTTCCAGTTGCTTTGCATCCTTGGCACAGCATCCTCCTCCACCACCACCCACACTTCAATGAGAACTTTGTTTTATATATAAGTGATGTGTTGGTGGGAGGTGGTGGAGGGGATGCTTAGACCTACAAGGTAGAGGGTTTCCTCTGTGAGCAGTTAATGAGATCTTTGAAACATTTACATTGCTAGCCCTTCCCCGTGTGCCTTGCTCACTCATAAATTAAACTTTCAAAAGTCATTGTGTTGGGAAGAAGACTGAAGTTCCTTGCCCCCTTCTTGTACATGCTTTCATCTTCTTTACTCCTGTACTATCCCATCTGGCTATCTTACACAGTAACAGCTTTTCAGAGGAGGACATCTGGCTGTCCAGAGTTGTTGGCTTCTAGTTCCCATTATCCCACTCCAACCTGGCCTGTACTAGGCAATCATGGGAGCAGTAGTTCCTCAACATCTTAGAAGTCACAGGTTTCCCAGCCCTATCCTATGGGATTTGTGTTGCGTTTGTCTTTCATATACAAACTGAGCCCTGAAACATGTGTACAGTATAATCATTCTTCTTCACCCCTTGCACAAATGTGAAACCTAAAACTAGTAACCAGATTGTTACCCATCTGCTACATTTCACTCCCCACAATGATTCATACCAAGTAACTGAAAAGGAAGACAGATAAGACTGGCTAGTAAGGTGCCCCTAGCATTCAGTTGCAGAGAAATTGTGGAGATGATTATTGACCCATATTGAAGGAAAGCAGGTTATGATTGTTTGATGATTGATAAGTGTTGCAGAATATTCAAAACTATCCCCAAAACCTAGTTTGCAGTTGAATACACAATAGAGGAGTCTCTCCCCCCCCACGTCCACCACCCTCTTTTTTTTCATTTATAACTAACATTCTGCTTCTAGATTTCTTACAGCCACGACATTCCAATTGTTGAGGTTCCAGTTTTTGTGACCTTTTAAAACTCTGTATTACATTTTAAAGCATAAATTTAGTCTTTCATTATTGCTAAATCTGCTTACAATTTCTTTGTTGCACAAAGAGGGCCAAGATAGTAAATATGGATAACTTTAGCTTTTAATATCCATATGGTATTGAAAGGTATTTGTATGAGCAAAGCTGCACAGGCCCTTCATATTACACATAGCCCCCTACATAGCTTAACAATGATTTACTGAACCATAGTTGAGAACTGACTGCAAATCATGATGTAAAACTAGTGTTTGAAGTTTCTTCAAATCCTGATTAACATTGCAGTTGTCATTGTACATTCCTGGGAGTAAGTTCCATTGAAGTCAGTGGACTTCTAAGTAGGACTATACAAGGCCACATTGTGGACAGTTTCATCTGCCTAAATAAACCATAGTTAAGAGAATTTCAAAGTCTCTGCACCCATGTTACGATTATTTTGAAGATATTGCCATTTCCCTACACACCCTCTGGATTCTGAACTTGGTTAAACTCAAGATAAACAGATATTGTTGTATACTCGAAATCTTAACAGAAGTAATTCCAACAAAACAAGTTTAGTGTTAATCATGGTTAGATTGACTGACCTTAATTCAGTTACTAGTTCCAACTGGAATACCACATTGTATCAACTGTGTGATGGTAAATTAATGCTTATATATATTCCACTGATTCAGTAAATCTACTCTAATTTGGACTACCAGTAGCATTTACAAGATCGCCGTACCAGGCCATACAAAATTTTAAAAATTAAAAATCTTGTATAGTCTGGTACAGAGATCTTGTAAATGCCACTGGTAGTCCAAATTAGAGTAAACCTACTGAAGTTTGAAGAACTTAAATAATTTGGCTTCAAAACCTAGTTTTTCTTTTTCTTTATTTGGTCCATCATGATTCTTCTAGGTTGCCCTGAGAGAAAAACCAGTTTGTAACGCATACCGAGGACTTGAGAGATTCTTTACAATGGATACAAACTGTCAACAAGTTACGGTGGACTCATTTCCTTCACCAAGTACTGCCAGGCATTCTCCAAGCAGCACTATTTCATTTTCAGGCAGTAATGTATAACTAAATTTCTCCAGTTTCATATGCATTGCTTGCTGAGCACATCTGCTTTAGGGCATGGTAGTCTTAGTTGCATATTTAAGTACACAGAAATATCTTTATCTGCATGCGCCAGGTATAGGACATCACACATAAATGAATTTGGCATACATTTGGCATACTGAGAATGTACTGTACAGGGAAAAGTTGCAGAAAAGAAAGGAAGTAGAAAAAAATCTGTGTCACAGCTTCATTTTTACATTTTAAATAAGGCCAAGTTAGTAGTTTTTCATTTACCTGGAAAATTCTTCATTTTTCTTTGAAGCTAAACTTTGATGAGGCCTAGTTTCTGTTTGGGAAATTATTAATGAACCTTAGCAGTCATGAATTAATTGTGTGAGTAAACAAGCTAATTGTTATGTTAAAATTAACAAGACTTATCCATCTTAAACCTTACGTGTGTTTAACATATATGTGCGTCTTTGATGTGAAAGTTTGGATAGCAGGAATTAACCTTTGCAACTCACTCCTGGCTTCATCTAATAATGTGATATTCTGAACAAGGTCAAAAACCTATCTAGTCCACCATGCCTTCTCCCCGTTGGTCTGACAGAGGCTTATGAGGAAGCACAGAAATAGAACACGATACTCACATTCATTAGCAAATGGTGTTCAAGCACATCTGGAACTGGAGACAGTATTTCCTGCTTCTGGTCCATGTCAGTTTTAAGTTCTTGTCAGTTCAGTAATAGATCTGTTTCATCCCATTTCCTTTTGCAATTTTAAAAACTATTTACATTTATTTTTGTATGCAGTTTTGATGAATATACACATGCTGTTTTTCCTTGTGCATTCACTTTCCCATGTATATGCATTTTTGTTCACAGTTTTTCAACCAAACACTGCATTGCAAAATATGGAGAAGCCTATAGTCAAAAGAATAAATGTGCCCCCACCCTCATATGAACCTGGAATGTATTATCAGGACCTTATGGTCAGATTTTTAGAGGGCTACATAGGAAAAGGACAAGTGGGAATTTTCCATTTGTCTTACAGCACTGAACATTGGATCCAACTTTATCTGGACTTGCCTGCAGATTGACTATAAATAGGAAGGGATGGCATTAAGTTTTTGATTAGTCATCTGTTTTTTTAGAAATCTACCCTCATGACTTTCAGCAAACTAATGTATTGTTTCATTTTAGTGTGTTTTGCTTGTTAAAAAATTCACATAAGTGGCTTTGCTGAAGAGGTGGAAGGAAAAAAAATTAATACATTATTTTGGAAGTTTATAGTCTGTTTTCAGAAGGAAGAAATTCAAACTCTGTGTAAATCAGTTAACCAATAGCCAGTTAATCACTTAAAAATATAGTTGATTAACCAATGAAAGTGTGCATCCTCCTTTTATTTTCCTGAATTTTAACTGAGTTCTGCTTAAGTTTACTGTACTTTACCAGTCTTGAGTCTGTGCCTCTAGCAGCAGCTTGATATACAGCTTTTGTAAGTTATTGGAAAAAACTCACCTGCGCAGCAGGCTACTGTTAAAGACAGAGGAAGATGGAGCATTGGGGGGGGGGACAGAACTTGGGTGCTGTATGACCCACAGGTCATTTGATGAAGTGCACAGGTGTTTCAAGTAAATATTCTTTTAAATGGAGCTGTGTGCTTAATCTGAACATTTTAGTCCTCTTAATTGTAACTGTCCTTTCATTTTCAGGGCCTGAGCTGTGGGTGAAGCAATTAAGTTTAAGTGAATGTGCTGATGACTGTGTAGTACAAGAAGTCTTTAAAAAAGAGCTCAGCAGGCCATCAAGTAGATTGGGAAGAAAAAGCCCAAGCCATGGAGCTCTTCCATCAGTCTTGCCTGGAGGTGAGGGCCTTTTTAAAGCAGCAAGTTTGCACTGTAAACAACAGAAGCCAAGTACATCCTTGAACAAGTTTGTCCCTTGATATAGGTGCTAACTTGCTGTACTAGTCCTTTTTCAGCACACTTCTTGAAAATATGGGAATGCTGCAATGTTTCAGCTGAATGAACCTTATAGTTAAACTGCAGTATTTTAGCTGAATTGTCATCATTGAACACTATAGCTGTTTGCTGGATTAGAACTCACCAATTGGCTAGAGTGACTCAGAAAGTTGACAGCTGAACTGTATTTTCCATCTGTTGGGAGTGGCAGTATCCTTGACACATTTTAGTAATTTGCATGCTCTCCCTTTCCCTTCCCTGGTGACAAGTTTGGTAGTGATAGCAACTACTGTTTCCATAATTAAAGCAACTAATGGTATTTGTATGGGATCATTTTCTGTTCCACCTGGGAACAGTTCAGCCTTAGGGCCCAGTTCAACAGGATTTTGAGAAGTACAAACATCTTTAAGAAGAAACCTTTGGGCGGGGCTTTGTTGCGATGCTGCCATAGCTCCAGAAAAGAGCTCTCTCTGGAAAAACTGGAACCATCTGGTCCAGGATCCCCCTTTTGAAATGGGGATCGAAGGAGAGTCTAGAAGTATCTCTGAAGCAGATGGTGAGCAGCAGAAGGAGAAGAATGGGAGGCAAACCTGGACTTCTTCCCTCTGAAGAAATCACCCAGCACGGATCGGAGTGGGAGCCATATTTGGCATGGAGCTGTGAGTAACCCTTTATCGAGGGAGAGGAGAACAACCAATATAAGCTTAAAATATATAGCAACTAAGCCTTTGATTTATGAAACAGCCCCATTAAACTCAAAATAAGAATAAAAACATTTGGCTGAAAAAAGAAAAGCAGCGGCGAACTTATTTTATCAATCTGCTTCAAAAGCAAAACTAACTCTCCTCCCCAAGTGAACTCTTAATATAGCAGGCTGGTTTCAAAGCCGAGAGAGTGAGACGGAAAAATAAATCTTATGTTTCTGGAAAAGAATCCTAGATGGTAATACCATCAGACAGGATTTAAGAGACGTGAGTTTTGTGAATGCAGTTTGGCTGGGACATGTTTCTCTTTGCCTTTTCCTGGACTCTGTGAACTGTTAATAACAGAATCTGGTTGTTTT